ACAACGGCATCCTAATATCAAGACATGTCTTAAACTTATTAGAGCCCTGATTGAATCTTGTTTATTTTCTGATCTCAAAAAAATTTTCATATCAAGAATTCGAATTATTAATATCAATAATTTCTTTTTTTTATATCAGAAAATACCTAAAAAATATTAAAACAGCGCCTCATAGAAATTCGAATTTTTAATATCAAAAAATCTTGTTTATTTTCTGATATCAAAAAATCGATTTTGTGATATGAGGAAATGATTTTAAGATATCAAGAAATCGAATTTTTGATATCAGAAAATCATTTTCTGATATCGAAAAAGAATCAAGAATTCTTGATATCAAGAAATCATTTTTTTGATATCAAGAATTCAAATTCTTGATTTCATAGATTAACTTGTATTTTCTGACATCAAGAAATCGAATTCTTGATATAAAAAAAAAATTGATATCAGAAATTTGCTTTTTGATATCAGAAAATGATTTTTGATATCAAAAAATGATTTGTATTTTCTGATGTCACAAAATCAATTTTTTGATATCAGAAAATAAGAACCAAGTAAAATATATTTTATGATATCAAGAAATTCTGATATTCTAATTAAATTTCTGATATCAAAAAATCATGTTCTGATATCAGAAAATCAATCTTTAGATATCAGAAAAAGATTTATTGATATCGGAAATTCGAATTTTTGATATCAGAAAATGACATATTTTTTTTATATCAAGAATTCGAATTTTTGATATCAAAAAATACGTTTTTTTGATATTAAAAATACGGTTTTTTTTATATCATAAAATTCCGAAGATTTTTTTGATATCAGAAAATGTATTTTTGATATCAGAAATTCGAATTTTTGATATCAAAAAATCTTGTTTATTTTCTGATATCAAAAATATATTTCTTGATATCAGAAAATGATTTTTCGATATAAAAAATTCGAATTTCTGATATCACAAAATGATTTTTTGATATCAGAAAATACCTTAAAAATATTAAAACTGCGCCCCATAAGTGTAACAGTTTTGTCCCTCCTCTTCATTTATAAATACCGACATATTTTAATTTGAGAAAAATTGCTCTCGAGGAAATAACACTATTTAATTCAACAATACCCCCCCCCCCCCGGAAAATGGGCATCAGGTGTTGGATTTTACCAAAAAAAATCCTCGTATATACTCGTACTAGAGTCATTTTTCTGTGGGCGAAATCCGCCTTCTCTAGACTGAGCCTTTTTCCAGGAGGGTGGGGTCCTATTCTATATAACCAGTTTTTGGACGGGGAGGATTTTATAGAAGAAAGTCTACCTGATCTGAAGACCGGATACTATACGAACAGCTTCGAAATTAATAAATTGAGTGTAACTGAAAAGGTCGCTGAGTACATCATGAAAGATATGGAGATAACGAACAGCATTCAAGCTCAAAAGTCCAATAATTTTCAACAATAAAAATTTGGAGCAGAACAAACACGACCTCCAAACATTAGAGGTGGGATCAGGTGCCGTGGAGGGGTTAGCATCTCCTGACTACCGGTTACACCCGCCATGTGCTCCTTGTCATAATCGGGAAATAACGAAAAATCCATCGTCAATTCAGTGTATAAATAATGGACTAACAATTAGTATGAAACACGTCAGTCAACATTTGACTCAGTGATAAATTGTATTTGCTGACAAGGTCATTGTATCGACCATGGAACTTACGAAACGACTTTGAACGAGACTGCTGATATTCTTGTTTCATCAACTTGTTCGTCAATAACTTACCTCATTTTAGAAATTGTTTATATACGTTCTATCTAACATGCTTTCGTGTATCGGATCAACTGATAGATATAAACTCCATATGCAGGTGACAAAGGTACATTGCTGCATAAGTAAGGGAAGTTGACGATTGAAAAATTTAAGACATCACGTTTATCTTAAAGCTTTGTTGTTAACCAACCATTAACGTTTTTCTGGTAAAAGATCCAAATATGAAACATATGCATGTGTCTAACTATGTGGTATCTTTTATTTCAACCTGACTGGGGATATACTAGTATAGTGTGGACATAAGAATGGAAATAACTATTGTTAATTGACAGTGCGTCAGCGATATATCTGAATGTCGACTCGGAGTTGAAAGTCACATCAAGTGTCTGTTCTGTTTATGTAAAAGATTTTGAACAAATTCTGCTTCATATGAATACAAAAATAGGTCTGATAATTATGGGACGCAATTGGTACCCATCGGAATTCTAATAGATTGTTGCAAGAACTGGTCTCCAAAAACCACATACCGGTAGATATTGTCAATCAGAAACTGGAGCATCTTTTTAATATCAACTTCAGAGTACTTGTGTGTACAATTATGCAGAATTTTTTTTTAACAAAGTAATTTTGCAAATGACCAATGACAAGGTAAGTAAATTTACGAGTTCTCTTTTTATTGAAAAAGCAACTGTCAATGATGTCAGAAGCCTGTACTTTCATCTAAATTATCAAGGGAAATAAAGTTGAAAAGTCGTAAGTTTTCATCATCTTATATCAGTATTTAACATCATAAAATAGTGTAAAAATACTCAGTACTCGTATGTATTTGAAAAGCGGTCTAACGTAATTAAAATATAATTGTTCAAGCAATTTGAAAGTTGTACTACAAGAGATGACTAAAAAATTGTACAGTTCGAAAAAGAACACCTTTGCCGAAATTCATACTATGAATTATGGCAATGTTGACATAATTATAATTTATCTGGAAAGTAGTGAACAGAAATATGCTACCACAGGAAGAAGAAACATTGTTAACCTTTCTCAATTTTTCCCCTTATTTATTTTCATTTCATTGAAAGAATGCATTGATGTAAGAGAGGATAATTATTATTGTCATTTTTTAACCATTTAAGGATTCAGTACTAGTTTTGTATTCCATTTGATGTCCACACTTAGTATTTCGTACAAATATTCATAAGATATTCAATTTCCCTACAAAAAATTAGGGGAAAAAATATAATAGGTTCTAATGATGTTACTTCAAATCTCTTAATTTACTTCTTACCAAAGTATTAAAAAAACAGTGAAAGGAGAAACTTTAAGAGTACTGTACAGAAATATTTCAGAAGTGGTGTCATCATATATGAATATTTTATTTTAAAAAATCCAAGGAACTTTTAGATGATTTAACGAGGCCAAGTCTAATTATTTCTACCCTAGGGATTTCGATAATTTTTCTTTAATTATTTTTTACTGTTATATTTATTGTTTTAAGATTAAAAAGTTGAATGTTTACCACCCCGATTTCTTAGGGGGCCATCTCAAAAGTTGTTAAAATTTACTATTGAACCCTATGGTAATTTGTTAGAATAGCGGCATATTATCACATTTTTAATATATTTTTTGAATTTCTGACCTAGAGATTTTGTTTTCAGTCAAGTATATGAAAATTATTGTAAAAAGTCACCAAATTGTGAAATTTCAAAAAAGTTTACCATCTAGGTTGGTCTAGGTCTTAAGGGACACCGACCCTCAGCCAGGAAGGACAACTCTTTAATTTATAATTTAATTCAAAAAGTCTTTAAATGAAGCTTGAAAATTAAATCTTTTCTTGAAACAATTTTCATTATATGCTTCTCAGTGTGTTTCAAGGTTCTTTGAACTTCCCAGAAAGGTCTAATTAAAAGTAGAAATTTTTATCCCGAAAAAGCATTTTTAGATACCAATGTTTATTAACATGATATGAAATTAGAAGTGATTTATGGAGCTTTGCAAAGAACCTTGAATCACATTGAGAGGCATATAATGAAAATTGTTGCATGAAAATATTTAATTTATTATTATATTATATTAAAATGATGCCCAAGTTTCTGATTGACAATATCTATGTATTTTTTAGAGATCAAGTTTTCTAACAACCTGTTGGAATTTCCACTGGTATTTATTAAGCCCCGTTATTAGCAGACGTATTTTTTTATTCATATGAAGGGGAATTTAATTGTTTAAAAATTCTACATGAAAATTGGGCCCTTGCTGTGGCCTTTTATCCGACGATATTTCAATCATTAATAATTTTGATGTTCATCTACATTGACTTTATATACCGGTATTCCGTTGAAATCGAATTAAAAGGCATTAATTTGTTTAATATTTGGATAATTTACTAGAGTAAAAAAAATAACAGAATATTACTAAAAAACAGGCCAATTTTTTTTAAAGACACAAAGACACATTATCAATGGATCAACATCAGAGGTGGGCATAAGAACCAGAAATATATACAGATTATCTATATATATATATAAATAATATATAGACGACGTATTGTCAATTAAACAATGGTCAAATTTCCATTCTTATGTCGATACGATATATCCCAGTCAGCTTGATATAAAGGATACAACAGAGTCTGACGCATCTGTTTCATATTTGGATAATTTACTAGAAAAAGATGTCAATGGTAATCTAATAACACAGCTTTCTGATAAACGTGATGACTTTTAACTTTTCAATCGTCAACTTCCCTTACTTATGCAGCAATATAGTATATACCCTTAACACCTGCATACAGAGTTTATATAGATCTCAGTTTATTCGATACGCAAGAGCATGCTCTATGTATGTACAATTTCTAAAATGAGGTAAGTTATTGACAAACAAGTTGATGCAACAAGAATATCAGCAGTCTCGTTTAAAGACATCATTTCTTAAGTTCTTTGGTCGATACAGTGATCTTGTCAGCAAATACAATTTATCATTGAGTCAAATGCTGATTGACGTTTTTCATACTAATTGTTAGACCATTATTTACACATTGAATTGACGACGGTTCTCTCCCGTTATTTCCCGATGATAACAAGGAGTACACGGCGGGTGTGACCGGTTGGCAAGGGATGCTCACTTTTCCATGGCACCTGATTCCACCTCTGATGTTTTGGAGGTCCGTGTTTGCTCTGTTCTTATTTTGTATTGTTTATTTGACTTTTGAGCTTGAATACTTTTTATTATCTCCATATATTTCACATTAAGCATGATCAAGGTAACTATGAGGAAAAATGTTAATATAAGTAATTTTTGGGGTAAATGAGGATCATATGCAACATTAAAAGGCAACATTTCTTTTTACATAAATAGATGCTTACACAGTGTTTCTAAATAACCACGTCCTCAAACGTTAGTTTTCAGACCATACACTCAAAATAAATATGTACATAAACTTGTATACGAAAGAAAAATGAAAGTATGCAAATACATGTACAAAGAACGATCATCAACGTTATAGAAGTTAAAACAGTTTCTTTAAGGAATTTCTTAACATGTCTTGATGTAATAAAAATCCAGGAAACATATTAAGAAGTTTTGGCTCGCATCCTCATTAAGACCAAAGACGTAAAATGTTAACTATTTTCATTTTTCACAGGCTATTTTTCTTGTTCATTCTCTCAGCTATGGCACTAGCTATTCTCTTCTTTTGTGGTTCTGTATAGCTAAATATTCGGATCATGGCACGAAGGTGGTTGTCCGACTGTTTTTGATCGGTAATATAGTGGTAAAAAGAGTCCTTTAGGAACCTCAAAATGGCCGCGGCCTCCGTTTCCGGTCTCTCGGCACTGTCGTAGGACTCTTGGCGCCTGAATGACTGCCATTTGGCTAATTCCGCCTCTGTATCCACCAACTTCTCCAGCAGTTCACGAGTTGTTACAGGTGCTGCTTTGCCGGACATGGCGGCTATTCTCTCAATCTGTCATGACATTTGATATACATGTATACAAATAGCACACAATGGTAAACATGACTGTATAAACACAAGTCAGTCAAAACTTTGAAGATGACAACTGTATGTATCAATTAGATTCGTTTTCGTTACCTCAAAATTCCTTTCAAACTTTGCCGACTCTTGGCCTTTTCGGTACATTTCATAATACATTTCTGCATTCTTTTGTTCCCTGTCGGCAATTATAGCCTGTCATAACAAAATCATGGCTATTTTACATTAACAATCATTTCTATATTTATAGTAATGGCATAAAGGCATATTTTCCCCATTAATCATAATTTATTGTAATTAATATTGTAATTTTCCGAAGCGATGACAGTCGAATATCATTAATCCATGTAAGTACATGTATATGTGAAACATCTACTTTATTTCTACAAAGAATTACTTTAATGTAATAAGGTAAACTATACTTCACTTTAAGATTTTTAACCGTCTCTTCCAGGGATGAAATCTTTTCCAGCGCTTCATCATAGGAGGACTTCAATTCAGTCTGACTGATGGTCATAGAATCAAGTTCCTCTCGAATTTCCTTAATCTTAATATTTTTACACTCAATAAGTTCCGCCGCCTCTTTGTCTATATTGTTCTTCAGCAAGTCAATCTCCTCCACCCTCTCAGCAATGTCTTTCTTTAGCTGTTTGACCTCTTTCTTAAGCTGCTTCATTTCCATTTCCTTGCGCTGTGTTGGGGTGACGTAGTTATTGCAGTCACAGTCTTGCAGTTCGTGGGACAAGTGCCCCTTTTCAAATCTTAGTCTACTAGTTAACGTCTCACGAACGCATGGAGGATTTTCTCCAGAGGAAGAGAGATTCAATGTGCTTCCTTTGGGTCGTGGAAGAAATGACCGCCCAAAGTCAGACGTTTGGCGATGCAGATCCTTTGTGGAACTCGCTTTTGGAATTGCATTTACTCCGTCTATAGTGCGACGTCTTCTGATTTTATAATCAAACAATTTAGATGCACTATTGGAAGATGCATTATTGGTCTCAAGAAAATTGTTCTTTTCCCCCTTTTTTTCTAAACTCTGTCTTGAAGGATCCCTCGGTGTGACTTTGTCTATACTTTCCGTACTTCCTTTGCTACTGTCAGTGAGTTGGCTTGTTTGGTTGTTGTCGTCACATTCACCATTTGCTTTGTTTTTGTTTGGACTATCCTCATTCACGTTATACCCTGCAACATCTTGATCTTCTTTTGTGTACGCAGGTCCTTCTGTGACATCTTGGATAACTCTTAAATCTTCTAAACTATCTGTCTCACAAACAGAGGCATCTATTGTAGTGCCCTGAGAAAGGGATGTCCCCTCCGTTGTCATTCTGTTTTGCTTTAGTATATTTCAACCATAATCTTTTATTACCAGCTGGCCGAGTTTGTTAATTTACTTCACCATGAGTAGCTCTATCGATTTAGTCTGTCCCATGTTTGCTAAAATAAATGTATAACATATAATGTAACACGAAGACTGAATAATTTGCCTACACTCCATGTAAATCCAGTATATTGATCAGTGTTTTATTTTGACTGTAAGGATGATGAACAACAGCTGTGACAATTTAATGGACAAACACAGTACGTGATTTGTCAATATCTGAATCAAAAAGATTGAAAGTCTGATAATCAAACTTTTTTGCTAAACAAAATGCATCATTTAGCATTATGAGTAAGAAAAAGTAAATTTCTTTTTTTTCTAATTGCAGCAAATTTCATTTGACAAAAGTTTCTAGAAAAACAAAACTGTACAGACCCTAGTTGGCCCAATTTACATAACTTTAGTTATATATGAGTCAAAATAAATTTTCAAGAAATCTACATACATATTTAAGATAGTGTATCGTTAATTTGTTTACTTACTGATGCAAAAATTAACAAGCGCAACATTGAAATCATTGGCGAATTCACAATCATTGTGAACATTATCCTAAACAATAAAGATAACATCTCTACAGCGATCGTGGTCTATTTTGCATTAAAACCAACTTCTGCAATGTTTAAGAATAAAAAAAGCAAATAAAATGAATATCATGAACAAAAGGTAATAATTAATTCATTTATAATCTCTTGCGAAAGGATTACCTGAATGTGCTGACCTTATATCTATGCAGGATACACGTCATCTGGTATCGATCGCCTTACGTGTACAAAAGCATTAGATGCAAAGAAAATCGACAATTTCTTGATATTCTTAAAAAGGGGTTATAACATTAAGTTACAGAAGAAAAAAATATATATATAAAATATACACGGTAAGGTCAAATACTATACCAATATATGACATGAGGTCAAAGAATTAATAAAACTCCGCTGCAGTTAAAGTACAGGTATAATACAATTTACAAATAAATTAACACAAAGTTACATATCATATTTTTACAATGAGATGGCAATACAAAAAAATGATAAAACTGCATGTGAAAAATGCTAAAAAAAATAAATAAATAATGGTTTTGTCAAGTACATCGAGATATCATGCATTACAGAAACATGCAACATATTCTAAAAGAAATATATGGAGATAACGAACAGTGTTCAAGTTCAAAAGTTTATAAAACAACACAAAATTGGAGCAAACTTCCAAAAACATCAGGGGTGGAATCAAGTGCCATGGAGGAGTGAGCATCCCTTGCAGAACGGTTACACCCGCCGTGTGTTCCTTGTCATGATCGGGAAATAACAGAATAATCCGTCGGCAAATCAATGTGTATGGAATGGCCTAACAATCAGTATGAAAAACGTCAGTCAGCATTTGACTTTTAAATTGCTGAATTGTATGAGCCGACAAGGTCTTTGTATCGACCATAGAACTTACGAACGGATGACGAGACTGTTGATATTTTTGTTTAAGGAACTTGTTTGTCAATAATTTACGTCTTTTTAAAAATTGTTCATATGTAGAGCATGCTCTCGTGTATCGAGTAATCCGAGAGACATTAACCCCGTATGTAGGTGATGAAGGTATATCGCTGCATTAGTAAGGGAAGTTGATAATTGAAAAGTTAAAGTCGTAACGTTTATCATTAAGTTTGTTTGTAGGATTCCCATTAACTTCTTTTTCAAGTAAAAAATCTAAATATGAAACAGATGTATCAGACTGTGGTGTCTTTTAAATCAAGCTCACCGGGATATATCGTATCAACATAAGGATGGAAATAACCATTGTTAGTTGACAATACGTCGTCGATATATCTCGTAAATGTCGAGTTGAAGGCAACAGCAATACGAAGTGTTTTCTCCTTTTCGCGGAAAAGAATTTGGACAAATTCTGCTTCGTATGAATACAAAAATAGGTCTGCTAAGCACGGGGCGCAATTGGTACCCATGGAAATTCCAATTAATTGTTGGAAGATTTGGTCTCCCAAAACCACAATGCTATTGTCAATAAGAAACTCAGCATCTCTTGAATGTCAACGTCAGAGTTCTTGTGTGTATAATCAAATTTAAATTTAAATCCAATATATGTGTTAAATGCTCAAAAAAAAAAAAAAAAAAAAAACAACAACAACAAGAACTTGAACGAAAATTAAAATCGCAATTTTTTTTTCAAAAGTCAGTACATGTATATGAAAACATAACATACGACTTTTCTACACTTTATGCAACCATTTTTCGCGATAATTAAAATCATTTTAATTTTTCTTTGAAGAAATTTTCTGCGAACTTTCAATTTTAGCAAATTTAATATTTCTTGTTTTGTGTAGTCCGAAGTCCTTTTTTAACATTCTTTGTACCGTGGGCCTATTTTGGGCCTATTTTCAAATACAACGTAAAGTGCCGCGGGCCTATTTTGGGCCTACTGTTAGCTTATTGACGTCACAAGTAAAACTGATTATGACGTTACGTCATCATTCTGAGTTTCGCGCCATTTTAGCCTCTTGTTACAGGAACCCATCATTTTACGTTCTACTGAATTTATGTTGGAATGAATGTTAAACGGGTATTTTATTTGTCTTTGTCATTAGGAAAATTCAAAATTCCATACGGAGAAATTTCAAAAAAAAAAATTAATAGTATTTAGTCTGTCTTCAAAACGGGAATGATTAACTATTACTCATAAAAAATTAATGTTTTGATCGTGGAAATACTAGTAATGCTATATCATTTTGTATTTTCTGAAAATAATATTTAATCTTTAATTGTCATGATATATTATAAAGTTTATTACATTAAAACTTTGAAGGGCTTTTTGACGGACTATAAAAAGTTTTAAAGTTTCATCCTCGGGAGCATAACAAAGTGAAAGGGTTTACTTCATACATGCCACATAATAAAAAAAAAATCCACAAAGAGACAAGGAACTTTACAGATAAAGCCCTCAATTTTGGAATACATGTAGTCAGTGCATGACATCGCCAATTGCCGAAAAAGACTGCTTATGACCATTGAACAATATTATGGCTGTTTTTTTTTCCTGCAAGAAACGACTTTGAGATAGAACCTCTTTAAAAGACCAACAGATATTTAATTTCTTTTAGGCACGAATCATCGATTTTAATTGCCGACAGGTGTCAGAATTTTTCGCTTGTTTCTCCTGTTCGATTACATCTCACACTAAATTAATGAAAGAATTTTGACAAGTATTTACAATCAGAGGGCAGGCAAGATATTTTGTCTGTCGAAATTGGGGCAAGTACCCCTACCCGCCACCCCAGCGGGTAAATACCTCTAATATCTTGATTTCCCCGAGATTTCAACGTCACTTAAACCAGTAGTAATTTACATGTATTATTTATTTTATTTTCTAGCAGCTATGCAAGCGATTTAAAAAGAATTAGATATGTCAATTTACAAACGCCTCTTGATCTTTTTAAGGACGTTGAAGGGTTTATTTGCAAAGAACAAACACTTGGATTTTTTAAATTTTGTTTTGTATTTGTTTGTTTGGAGCGATTTTTTTGCGATTCATATTTTTTAAAATCAATATTTTTAAAATATCATTAATATACTATGAGTTTAAATTATCATAGAAACAAATGCCCATGATTAACTTAATAAAATATGTAGAGAAATAATGAAGTAAGTTTTCATACATCTAAACATTTAAACCTCTTTATTTAATTGATTTGCACAATACATAGATTGCATCCGATCGTATCCGGATCAAAGGAGAAAAGACGAAGAAAACATACGAAGTAACTTACGTCTTATAGTCGTGAGTTCTAGGTTATATTTTTTAAGAACGCGATTAGAAAATTTGACATTATTAAAAGACCAATATAAACGTGTTTAACAAATATTTAAAAAAAAAAATAATTTATAACAAAACGCTACAACTGTGCATTTTTAACTTCAATAAAAAGCCTATGAAATGTTAACGTGCGTAAAAGTAGCATACTCTGTGAAGCATGTTTTATGAAATTATTATAACTCTAAATAATTTTTTTTAAAAATCACCGGAAAACACCAAATCCTTGTATATTTTTTTGAAAATAGGCAAAGTTTTATCTGCTGAGTTTGACCGGTTTCAAGGAAATGATATGCTCATAACGTGTCCGCTAAGTATATGTTGGTAAACTTTTCCTGAGTACCATGAGATTTGGTGCCGAGCGAAGCGAGGGACCAAATCGAATGGCGAGGGAAAAGTTTAACAACATACTTAGTACAAGCTTCACACTAGAAATTAAGCCCTTTGTGTCTCTGTCTATTTAATTACAAATCTTTGTGTGTTTCTTATTATATAATCAAGATAACGATAGTTTGACCCTGACTGCTGCCATTTTATACAGGACCAGTGTGATAATTATACCCTCGGGGTAATATCACGGTTTACAGCGAGTAGTTTTCAAACACAATACAGGTTCATTTCTACAGATACAAAAATCTCTTCTTCTTCTTCTTCTTCTTCTTAAAGTATACTCTTACAAGCGTTGAACTCGGACTGTCACACGCGACGGACAAGGCTAAAAAAATCAGGGCCTTAATTTAATAAAAAGTTAACAACTGGCACACTGTTGGTGTTGGTAAGCAGCTGGCTCCTTGTGTAAAAGCCAGCTGCAAAAGGACTCCAATGTTGGTGCTGAGGCAACTACAAAATTTCTCTAGAATTGTATATTAAGAAGGATGCTGTGGGTTCCGAGTGTGTGGTAGACATATATAAATCTGTCACTTGGTGTCAATATCTGCAAGGATATACCAAAGCATTGCTCAATCTTGTATAACAAGACGAGTAATATATCTTCATATCTTCTTCTTTGTAATGGTTCCCAGTGTAGATCTTGTAGCATCTGGGTAACACAAAGGGTGGTTATCATGGTAGTTTTTGGTGGCAAAGTGCTGCTCGTCTTTGCACTTTCTCCAGCTGATGGACAGTGCTGTGGAGTTCCAGGGATCCCATGCTGCACAGGCGTATTCTAGAATCGGTCGTACTAATCCCTGGTATGCTGCGGATCTTGTAGATGTCCGTCATCCCCTCATATTCCTCCTGATGAAGCCCAGTGTCTTGTTGGCTTTTGCTGTGATGTTACTGATGTGGTTGTCCAATCGTAGGTCTTTACTAATGGTGACTCCAAGGTATTTGCTGGAATCAACCACATCTAGGAGGTGCCCATGTATAGAATAAGTAGCGGTGATGGGTTTCCGCTTTCTGGTAACTTGAATAACAACACATTTTTCTGGGTGGAATGTCATCTGCCAGTCCTCCTCCCATCTGGTCAGAGAGTTGAGATCCTTTTGCAAGGTGACTGTATCATCCTTATTTGTGATGGGTCTGCAAAGGAGACAGTCATCTGCAAAAAGGCGAGTATCTGACAGCGTCCTTTCAGGTAGGTCGTTAATGTAGAGGAGGAACAGTAGGGGTCCTAGGACTGTCCCTTGTGGCACTCCTGACACCACTGGTGCAGTTGAGGAAGTACGGCCCTCTAGAAGTACTTGCTGTGTCCTATCTGTTAGGAAGTCTCTAATCCATTGGAGAGTGAAATGCCTCAGTACCCCGTAGTAGTTTAAGTTTATAAATACGCTATTTTGGGGAACCTTACTTCAAGGCTTTACAAAAGTCAAGTAGGATGATGTCTACTTGGCCTTTTTCTGCAAGGTTCTGGGCTATACTGTTTATGGTGGACACCAACTGGGTTTCACAGGAATATAGCGGAATATACTGTTTGAGAGGATGGAATTCTCATCTAGATGGTCCATGACTTGGCTGTGTATAATGTGTTCCAACAGTTTACAAGGGATAGATGTTAAAGATACAGGTCGATAGTATCGAAGCTAAATGTTTGTTATCTTGAAAATTGGAACAATACTTTCGCCAGTCATCTGGAATCCTTTTAAATACAGAAGATTGGAAAATAATGTTAATATTGGTGCAAGTTGATCAGCGTGGACATGTAGAAGCTTAGCTGGTATATCGTCAGGGCCAGTGGCTTTGTTCATATTTGATGTTTTTAAGAAGCTTGTAGACTCCATTTTGTGACTAAATTGTATGACAAACAAAATGACTAGGGGCAACTTTTCATGCGTCTGGTGTTCTCATTTGGTATACACATATATATATTTTTTTTATTTATTTTTTTTTAAATTAATTTTTTTTTAACACAATTCATTTCATACAGAAACATTAAAAATCTTTGAGGTAAGACAGAATTGTGTATTTTTACATTAAGAGAGTGAGAGAGTCGGGAGAGAGAGAGAGAGAGAGATAGCTGATAGAGAGTTTCTAAATTCCCTCTGTGCTATTGCCTTCATAGTGACCGACAAATTTTTCTGGGTTTTGGGCCATTTTATATGATATATATTTTTGTGTTTGGTAAAATTGATCCAAGTGTGAATGCCTGATTCACTTTGGTTGGTACATGCTTCTGTATCATGTCTGTGACGTGGTTCTTAAACTGGGTCCATGAAACATTGATGTATGAAGATGTATTCTCTGTCTGAAGATATTCATGTCATTTAAATGGATTTAAGTATGGAGCATTTTAGTTTTGTAAAAATTATTAAAAATTTGTTTTTTGGTGCTATAATTTATAAATTTCTCCTGAAAAGCAAAGAATTCCACTGAAAACGAAAAGCAGGAAAAGGATATGCTTGGATGTACATGTACTTCTACTTGAACAATATAATTACACTGCGTAATTTGAACATCTTTAAAAATCATAAATAGACTTTTTGCTGTGTCCCAATCAGTCCATATCTGTTTAATTGGAATCGAAGAAAAAAATTAAATAGTAAGTAAAATTTTATTGTTCCCACTTTTTGATGCGATAATTCTGAAAGTACAGTAAGTACCAATGTAAATGGTAAATCATAAAAATTAAATAGATTACTAGACGTTTCTCAAATTTCTCATTTGATTTTGACATTAATTTCACTTTTTTTTTTCAAGTTTCCATTTTGGCAAAAACTGAATATTTCAGAAAGAAAGACAAGGGAAGAGAGAGAGAGATCTTTCTTCCTGTGCTAATTTTTGTAACTGTGTATATTTTTTTGACTATGTAGCACATCAGGTCCATTATTCATTGCCTGGTGACCTTGCCCTGTGTCCATGATTGTAACCTATCATTGGTAATGATTGGCTCAATAATTATGCACACAATGGCAGAGTCACCCAACCATGAAGCTTGGACTTGGGGTGTACCAAGTGATTTGGTAGCAGCAAAAACCGTTTGTTCGAGGTGTGAAATGTGTACTAACTTTTCTAACAACACTCGTACAAGTGGTTCAGGAAAAGAAGTGATCAAGTGTGCAAAGGCCCGTATAACAAGGTGATACTTTTTTCCGAGTTTATAGTTCAATAGTAAATCTTTATTTAGACCCTCCCACACACATACGCCCTCACCTCTGGCTTGTTCAAGGTTTTTTTTTTTTTTTTTTTTTTTGAAAAGTTAACCAAAAATACCCCCCCCCACACACACACACACACATCATACGCACGAAACAGGAGTTTTGAGATCGGAACATCAGAACAAATTATTTTTTTTAAGGGGTCAGGTTTTTTTAAAACCCCCATCGAAATTTAAACCATTTCTAATGGCCGGGTCAGTTGCAGAACTAGCTGTAGCTCTCCAAAGGAATATTTTGACAGACCGGTCTATCAATATATTTTTTCGGAGTGCTACAGTCAAGTTTTCAGCTACGGGCCGGGTAAATTTGATATACATGTATTATGTAAGGTCTACCTTAAAAACTACATATTGAGGTGTACAAACAGTAATGAATCCATTTCAAGTACGATAGAATTTTCAACGATAATTCACGTAAAACCTTTTGATAGTTATTTATGCATTACATGTACTGTGTTTCAATACCGTTACATTTGTATATATTTAATTTTAATCGTAATGCGTTCATTATTATGTAATATATAGTTTGACCCACAGGTTCTTGACGTAACATAAAATTATTTTTTATTAAAAAAAAAGCAATACCTGCCCACATAATCAACTTGAAATATATTATTTGTACATAAATTTTGCGTGAATTTAATTTTTGTAAATATATTTTTGAAGGGTCTTGTCGTTGTAGAATTTATTTTATATTGTCTGTATTTAAACCATTTTCTGCAAAAAGTGAAAGGCGAAAAAGTTTTTATACCTTTATCTACTTTGTTTGTGACGTCATAGTAACGTAACGTCATAGATTTAACGTAATAAAAAAACTGTTATGGCATTGAACGTAATTTGAACTCCAAATCTCTACGGCAGCGAAAAGGTTAAATGACTCTAAGTTTACTCCAAACACAGGGGCCGGTAACATACTATATTTCATTTTACGTAATCACTATATATAGTTTAAAATATATTTTATTCATTGAATTGGATTGAACAGCAGGCATAAATGCCTATGATCGTTCTCTCGACTCCATAAGTCAAGGTAAAATTACAAGTACATGTAGCCTAAAAATTGAAAAAATGTATGAAGAGTAGATTATCAATTGGTACATATTTAGAATGAATTTAGAGAGAGAGAGAGAGAGAGAGAGAGAGAGAGAGAGAGAGAGAGAGAGAGAGAGAGAGTAAAACAAATGAATAGAAAAATTAGGGAATAACTATCTTCTAATTTGGTATTTATGACCGTTAATGCTGATTTAAAACCTGAGTTTTACCGGCGACGACGTAAGCGGAGCCGGTAAAATATATCTACCGTTAAATCAGCATTAACGGTCGCAAATACCAAATTAGAAGTTTAGTTATTCCCATTCTAATGCAATCCATGCATTTTGTTTGTTGTTTACGTCTTATTTTGTTGAATTTTGTTACATGAAATACGTCACGGAGCATTGTATTTTTGCGTCGCTCTATTATGACGTCACAATGAAAAGGCTTTCAAGCTCGTTAATGCTCGTTTTACTGCTTCAAACATCAGTGCATTAACCAATCAAAGAGCGTTTTACAAAACAATTGCATTAGAATAATAATTTAACAGATGAAAAGAAAAAAAATAATAATTATATAAAATATAAACAAAAAGAAAAAAAATACATAACAATGTTTGAACAATTGCTGCTGACCCAGAGTAGGAAAAATTCTTAAATAAAATCATATTTCCCATAGAATATCATAATAAACTAAAATTTCAATGAAAACCTCTTAGAGTTTCTTATGAAGGTATCTGTACATGACTAAAAAATGAAATATTATGATCCAGACTTAGTGAATTAACACCATATAATATATTTTCTATATTAATGGCTATGTTATTTTCATTCATGTATTTAATCAGCATTTGTCGTTGTGGGGCATATTGTTGACAATGCAAGAAAAAATGCAAAGAATTTTCGTTTTGATGTACATATTCTTCATTCTTTTAGGTGGTCTTTGAAAAGATCAGCATTAAGGTTATTATATTTGTTCCTTAACTGGCAATATATTATGTTTTCAATTCTATTACCATAATTGTATAATTTGTATTTATTTTCTGATTAGGAGTAGTAGAGTTTAATTTATTTTTAAAAGTTTGTAATGTAGGGGAGTTTCTAAAATCATCCCGATTTCTCATCGGGATCGGGGTCCCGATTGAGAAGATTATGAAAACATGATTACGCAACCGAAATTGGCGAAAATCACTAGGCCTTACAGAAAGACATAAATTGTGGTAAAGTAAACAAAGATGAAGTTACTATTTCTACCGAAGAGATTCATCCCAATGGGGACAAACAGAATGTTTCACTTTTCACAGAGGATACAGTCAAAGGTATTAAAAAAATGATGTAGAAAGAAAAACTACTCTCAGTTCCTATTATACATATCAGGTCCAGTCCAAAGACTATTTCTACCTACGTAGCTATTAATAGCTACCTAGGTATTTAAAGCTACCCAAAGTAGCTATTTTTACCTACTTTTTATAATTTCTGCATTTTGCAGCACAAAGACCAAACGGCGCAACGTCGTGAATACCATATCTTTTGATACAGTCACACTAATGATGAATACGACAAAATTTTGGCCAAAACATGATTACTTCCTGAATCGGCAATTTTACATTAGTTTCTATGCAAAATTGATAATACACGAAGTAATCATTTTTTGGCCAAATTTTTGTCATATCCATCATCAGTGTGACTGTATCAAGAAATTTTGAGCTCACTATGTTGCGCCGTTCCTGCATTTGGCCACAAAATGCTAGTAAAGCAGAAAGTAGGTAAAAATAGCTACTTTGGGTAGCTTTAAATACCTAGGTAGCTATTAATAGCTACGTAGGTAGAAATAGCCTTTGGACTGGACCTGCATATTGCTATCAAAATACATAGGTATGCGTTCAGTAAATCTACCTGTTCACTACAACACTGTAATTTACAAAATAGATATTATTATATGTATGTACGAAATGTTTAGAATGATATATCATCTGCATATACCTGATTTATTTGTTGAAAGTTAGATACACTTCATATTTCTTTTTGTAGGTACTCTATGATGGCGATTGTCCCATATGTATGGTAGAAATTAATTTACTTAAAAGATATTTAAACAAACAAGGAAAAGTGGAATTTGTGGACATCACAAAAGACAGTTTTAAGCCAGAGGATCATTTAGGGATAACATACAAGGAAGCTATGGGCAACATGCATGTCATTGGGGACGACAACAAGGTAAGTAACTTGTAGCATATCAATGAATTGAACACTGTGTCACCGGGTACTACTAAACAGAGTACGCTAGAGTACTTTAGAGTACGATAGAGAAATCATGTATTTCAATATAACTAGACTGTTTATTTATGTATATATTACTTGATTAAACAGTGTTATAAAATAATATTTCAACATATGTACCAACTATTTGTATTTTTTGCGATATTTTGACAAGAAAGCATTGACATTCATGATTCAATGCATTAAGGCACTTAAAGGTTATTAACACCCCAATCTGGATTACTATTTTGTGTCAGACTTATTAATTTCAACTAGATTTTGTTTATCAAAATTAAATTAATTACATTACCTAAAATTTGATAGTTTTTTACATTAACAACGAAACGTTTGAAGTTAAATTAGATCGGGATCGGAATAAAACGATAAACCGTAACCTGAAATCAAAAATTAAAATAACTTCTAAAATAAGGAACACATAAACATTTTATTTAAAATATATGTTTATTATGTTAAACTAATGTAGAAAAACATACAAAAAGCAGTTTAATTGCATTAAATTATAAAATTTTACTAGCGTATTCTAAAGTACTCTATCGTACTAGCGTACTGTGTTTAGTAGGACCACTGTGTCACCAGGTTAACTTAGCATGTGTGTGAAAGTCAGTCAATATATATTGGGTCTGAATAGCCCAGTGGTTAAAGGACTGACATGGTACATTGGCGTCGGAAGCAAATTGAAAGGGGGGGGGGCTAAGTATTAAAAAAAAAAAATTTATACCTTCAAAAAAACCTGACAAGCAAAAAAAAAAAAAAAATTTCCCAAAATCGAAATACCAATTTCGTGGGGGTGGGGGGGGGGGGGGGGGGGGGCCCCGGTTAGGTTCGAACTTCAGTACCAAAATTTTTTTCCAAACACCAACAATTTTCCCTTTTTTAACCTATACTGCGATGTGTCTGTGGAAAGTGGGGGGGGGGGCTAAACCTACGAAGCAATGTTCAATGTCTATACTAAGTATATATTTGGATAAAGGGGGGGGGGGGGGGGCTCAATAGCCCCCCTAGCCCCCCGGTTCTGACGCCTATGATGCCAGAGGCCCTGGGTTTGAATCCCTGGTTGAGACTTGACTTTTCATTACCTGTGACATTTGGCACCCAATGTACTAAACCCACTATTCTCCTGTAACATGCTTTACACACTTCTTTAATTCAAAGTATTTTTACAAAGAGGGAGGGAGGGGGTGTTTCAACAGGTTAACTAAACAGGTGTGTGAAAGTCAGTCACTCAGAATATTGGGCTCAATAGCTCAGTTGTTAAAGCGCTGGCACAAATTGCTAGAGGTCCTGGGTTTGAGTCCTTGTTGAGACTTGATTTTTAACCACCTTTGATATTTGTTTCCCATAAATAATTTTTGAATACATGTATTTCATATTTCCTGTACTTAAAATGTGTACAAAGCTAATTATCAGCCATGGTACATTACTGTACAGCGTATTTTGTTTTAATATATACCAGCAGATAGTTTAAAATACTTAAACTACCATATTCTGAAATTAAGGAACAACTAGGCAATGGTCTACCAGATTTATTTTTTCTTTTGTTCAGATGTGCATTTAAAAAACATTTTATAATTTTGGTTATTTTTTTAATTACTATCCTGTAATTTATCATATTGCAGGTGTACAAGAAGATGGATGCAATCAGAGAAATGTACAGGGGTGTTGGATTTGGAGCTTTTGCCACATTCACAGAATTGCCAGTGATTCGCCCTATAACAGACAAAATGTATGAAATTTTTGCTGCTAATCGCTTTAGACTAACAGGCAGAAAAGATGATTGTAACTGCCAAAAAAGGTAGCATTTATGTTTAACTTTAATGTTCAATTAAATTTAGATTTTATTTGGAATGGCATTGATGTCTTGAATTTATTTTGAAATTTGTAGACACATTTTACAAAAGACAGTATTCTCTATAACATTTGATATTTCCACAAACGGCTTTGTGTTATTTGTACTTTTTATTTTTTGTTTTTTTTTTATTAAATGTTAGAAATAAATTTGACATAAGAAATTCTTATCCTTTGTAAAGATCTTTAATAACAAAACTTACATCCACATTATCTCATTTATAAACTTGTGTTGTGAAATATGGAGATAATGAATAGTATTCAAGGTAATAAGTCTATTCAAACAATACAAATCAGGAGCAGGTCAAAACATGATGAGGTGGAGTAGAGGAGTAAGCCTCCCCTGCCATCCTATCACACATGTTCAAGTGTTCCTTGTCATGATCGGGAAAAAGGGAAAATTAATTTGTGAAATGCCTAACAATTAGTATGAAAAAGTCAGTAGGCATTCAACTTAGTGATTGTATTTGCTGACAAGGTAATTGTATGAAGCATAGAACCTGCGAAATGATGACTTTAAACAAGTCTGTTATTTATAATAAAAGACTTTAAACAAGTCTTTTATTATTTTATCAACTTGTTTGTCAATAGCTTGCCTTGTTTTAGATTTTTTTTACCTGGAGCATGCTCTTTCAAATCGAATGAAGTGAGAGACATTAATCCTGATATGCAGGTGATAAGGGTTTGTTACTACATAAGTAAGGGAAGTTGATGATTGAAGTCATTAAGTTTATCTTAAAGCTATGTTGTAAGGTTTCTATTAACATCGTCTTCTTCTAAAGTATGAAGCAGAATAGCAGATGTATCAGATTATTTCAAATCTTTTATTTCAAGCTTATTGGGAGATGTTGAGTCGACATATGAATTCATATTCACATGAATTTTTTTCTTGTCATACCTTGTCAGGACTTTGAATCAATTGAATTCTGCTCTATATGACCAAGAAATAGGGTTTACTAATAACGAGGCAAAAATGAAAGCATTGGGAATTGGACAGATTGTTGGTAGACCTGGCTCAAAGACCTTAAACTGAGAACAGACTTAAGTCAAAATTTCAAACCAAAATAACTTTTTTAATAATTTTGACAATGTAACAAAATTTTCATCATATGTTTGAAATTAAATGTTATACAATATGGAAAATTTTTAAGCAAATACATTGAATAAAACTCAAGATATCAAAAATCAAAATAATTTTGACTTAAGTTTATGGTCTTTGGGCCTGGTCTCCGAACTCTGCAAAAATACTGTCAATCAGAAACGCAAGTATCTTTTTATATCAATTTCAGAGTATTTGACTTGTGCGTAAATTCATAGTGTTTTTAACAAAGTAATTTTGTAAATGACCAATGACAAGGTACGTAAATATTTAACAATATATTATTGTACAGTACTTTTCTATTAATAGTCTTTAGTAGAATCTGTCAAACTCATAGGCGCTCCCCATGTAAGTTTGAAGATGACGAAATTGTAGTCTACATACATCTACCCCTCTATACATTGAATTTTTAGTATAGAGGGATAGATCCATATAGACTATGATTTCCTACAAACTTACATGGGGAGCGCCTATGGTCAAATTAAACGGGTGCGTTCACAGTTCTACCATTAGTGCCAACTTTCAATATACCATTGGTGCAATAATTTGACAATGGTACCAAAGGTACCTAAAAACCCTGAACGGATATTGGCATAAAAATGTAACGATTTTACCAATGTTACCACTGGGAGTCCAATGAAAACATTGGTAATACTAAATGACAGATTTCTTTCTCTTCTAAGTTATTGGCACATGCCAGAATCGCAAGAAAATCATAGCAGACTCATAGCCGAGAAATAAACCACATCAGGATCACACTTCTTTAGTTGCCATATCTATGAGTTTTATATAATCCATTTAATGGATCATGTCTAAATCATACTTCAAAGTCATGAATTTAAGTGTTTGATATGATTTTTATGTGATTTTGGCATGATTTGTTAAAAAGGTTTAGAGGAAAAATCGTTTATATCATTGTGAATCCGGGATCCAAGTCTTTCTAGCTTGTTGCCATGTCGATATCTAGCAGTGACGTCATTTACCAACATTAACCACACTCTAGACTGTCTACAGAAAAATATACCATTGGCAAAAAACATTGGTACCACTGGCATGCCAATGGTAATTAATTTTACCAATGGCAACTTTTGTCTACCAGCGGCAGAACTGTGAACGCACCCACTAGTTTAGTTAGCATCTGAAAATGAGTTGCCTTTCTTTGGTCTGTATTAAGATCACATCCATATCATCCCTATACAGGAGGCGAAAAATTGGATGATGTTTCTGTTGGGAAGTATGTATATCTTTTGTAAACTATAAATAAAACTGTATCCACGGGTTAGTACCTTATTTTGCTGCATTGTAAGCTTTGTAGTTTAATTTTAATCTGAAAAAAAATTAATGACCCAAAATAAAAGTCCAAAGATCTTCCAAACCAGCAAACCGTTTTACTTTTATATATGAGTTTTATTGAACACGAGATAAAAACATAACATGCAACGTTGACCTTCTCGCATTCTGTGTATGACAAGTCTATAACCGTCTCACGAATTTTGGATAATTCTGTCACTTTCTGATAGTTAACTGTACCTTAAAGATGTCCCAATGGGAGATATAAAACAAAATGTTAAAAGGATTTAATACAGCTGTTGAGCTGTATCCATTCTCTCGTGAATTCCATTAAGCTTGACAACGCGAAAGAAATGTGATAGTGATTTTGTTTTGTAAAGTATAAGTTTACTTGGAGTAGCCTTACATGTATGTGTAAATATATTTAATTCAATGAAACATTTTAAATCGTTCTGAAATACATTTCTTCATTTTATTTAATTACATTCTCAAATAAAACAACGTTTTTTCTTTAGTTATCTTAGATTACCTGAATAATATAATTATAAAAATATTAAAGGAAAAATATATATGAACCCAGACAAACACCCCACACACTCACAGACACATAGATACAGCCTCACTCGTATATTAGAGGCAATGTGAACGGAGAGCTCACAAAATAATATCCTCCCACAGGAGTTTAATGACAAAGTCTGTGTGAAACCCTTAATATCAATCCCATCAAACCCAACAGTAAGAGGTCGCAAAAACACAATGAAATGAATAATCTTATAAAAAATCTTAATAATTTTATTCGATGGTATGAAGGAGTTGTGGATGAGACGGGTATCCTCGGTACTAAAGGAAGGAAGACATTTTTGCTAAGGAAATCCCAAATATCTGTCCATGAAACGAAAAACCGAAGGTTACAATGACACAACGAAGTAAGGAATCTGTGTTTTAGCCAAATAATTTTTTAAGTGATAAAATTGCTGATTATAGATGAATACCCGACCAAAGTGTTACAGATGCACGAACGGCCACTCCCATAACTTTATACCCCCGTTTTTCAAGTGAATTAATGAAAATTTAAACTACTTATTATAAGTGTACTTTAAAAAAATCTGTTGAGCAAGATAAGATAATATTTTTCAAAATTTTGAATTAAATTTTTTTCAATTTTTTATTAGTAAAGCATCGTTTGACGGCAGCTGTAGGGTAGATCGTTAAAATGAATTTCGTACTTTTCAGGATTGTTCATTGAAAACTTTTTAGAAAAGTATTAATCTAGATTCTATTTTTTTTTATGTAAACTGCCGCACACCTTGTAACCTATTGCTTAAAAAAAGAGAATATGTTCAGTTTTGCATGAGGAGTAAACATAAATATATGGCTAGAATATATCAATTTTACAAATATAAAAGTACCCTTTATGGACTTTTTTACAGATGCATTTTTATAGACTTCGTGAACGGTGATTCCGAAAAATCTACATAAAAGAAAAACAAAACAAAGACCAAAAACCCTTGAAGACTTTACTCAAGCATTGTATATGACCAAGGCATAAAAGTATAGGCAAGTGCCGTATATTGTTTTTTATTTAATCTTTGTATGAATACTGACTGACGCAGAGCCCAGTATAAAAAGGTGTCAATCTACAGAATATCTGTAGGGGACCCAGGATCTAACAAAACGGTTGATGCCCCTTGGTGTTTCCTATGTGGCATTAAATGTATCATATATACGGTCAGAAGCAGTCTCAATCAGACTTACTTTTGACGTTTTTTTCCCCAAACGTTAAAGGAACATACGCAACAATTTTTAGAGATTTTCTTCGCTGTTTAAATGTGTTATGATTAATATGTGTGTATTTTAAACTGTTATAATAAAAAAATCAAAATAAAATTTCAAATTGTTTTAGAAGAAATATTTCTGTACAATCGAATATATAGCACTTTATAAGAATTTAATATTGTAGAGGACGACAATAATGTAATTTTGCTTCAATTAAAGCTTATAAACAGTTTTTTCTATCGCAAATATCAACAACAGAAGTTTATAAATGTTCTATTTTCCTTTCATTGAAATAGTAAATTACAAAATTTGCAACGAATTTTTTCCATGTCAAACTTGCAGGTCATATTCTTTAAAAATTACAAAACCTGTCGTATTTTGAAGAAAATTTTTGTTTTATACATGTAACAACTTTACTAAACCGGAGAGAATTAGAGAATAACACGTAGTGGGACTGAATAAAACAATATGTTACGGTTCCAGCAGACAAGACTTATGCCTTAATTACTTATATTTATAAGGTTCATTATTGAAAATGTATTTAACAAAACCTTTTTCTTTTTTTCTTTTTTTTAATTCTGCATATGGAAATCTTATATTTTCACTGTTCATTTTCTAAGATTGAAAGTTTTTCAAATTACATTAATATTTCAGACAACCAAGCCAATTTGGACCAACTCTACCTGTATTGGATTCCTAAATTTCCTAAAAATCCTTACAAGCAACGATACATTGCTGGTTTAAGTAAATGCTCTACAAAACACCTTATCTTTACTCCTTACAAAAATATCAGCCACGGTATAAGGGAGACATTTCAGACGTACTGTGCTACCGCATATTATAGAAATGCTGCAAATTGGATGTGGATTCTCAAAAACGTCTAAGAACTTTTAGAAAATTTAAAATCTCGAATTCTTTTCGTAAGTCGATAACGTCAAAACTTGCACTTTTTAAAAGTCTTTCTTCACTCATCACTAAGATATTAACACTAGGGAGGGAGAAACT